GATTCTGAAAAGCTCAGGAACGTAAAACATTATCGCGGCTTAAGCAAAAATATGGTGACCAATAGAATAAGAGCATAGAGAAAATACATAGTTGGATTAACAGATTAGTACCCGGATGACCGGGTTTTTTTAAATTACATTTAGATACAAATTACATACTGATGAATAATATTTTTTGATCTTATTGACATAATAGAAAAAACTGAACTGGTTATTTGAATAAAAAATCATGAATGCAATTAGTTTAATTAAAATTTTTGTATTTTTAAAAAATACTAAAAAAGGGCTCGAAATAATCGATTTTCTCACAAAAGAAGGGAACTTGAAAAAAAAAAGGAAAAAAAGTCGGATTAAAAACAGGACGCGAACCAACGCATTACGATTTCGCTACCGTTCGATATTGACATGAGCTATTACGATCATTAAAAAATTGTCTAAATTTACCTTCTTATGTTGTAGCAGTTTTTCACTGCCTGAAAACATGGACGAAAAGACATTTTCTAAAAATAAATCCTAGCTAGATCGATTTCTTGTCCCCGAAACTCCCTGGACACTACATTAAAAGTAAAATGACAACATAAAAGCAGAGTGTCAAAATAAATATTAACAACTTCCGTGTCCGCGAAAAAGACACAATCGTTCAACAATCAAATTTTTTATAAATGTGTGACTCACGAGACAGTGAATATATATACACATATATATATATATATATATATATATATATATATATATATATATATATATATATATATGTGCGTGTGTGTGTGTGTAAGGTCGTAAAAAAATGTACTTTTTGAAAGTTTTGAGTGGGCCCATGTTTGATTGTGAATACCATACGCTAACAAAAAGTATGACAATATTATTAATTAATTAAACATTTATAATCATGTTTAGAATAATGTAGAAATAACCAGAATATTCAAGAGGCTTAAACACAAAAATATTTTTGAATCAACAAAATAAAGCTGCATACAAAATTTATTTGTCTCCTATAAACTTACGGGACGAAAAAATGCAACAAATAAAAATAATATAGCATTATGGTTTTAAAATTGTAGCTTTCTTTGATAGCAAAAAAGATTCCGTGTGATAATTTATAAATTATTGCAATAATACAATGCTAGTGGAAAAAAAAACCTAATTCTAATTTGTGTCTCCAAAAGTTATCCAGTGTATACTCCGATTCGATATGGGATAGATTTTTTGTTTTCAACATTAAACAACATTATTGACCTAATTTCGATGAGGCATTGCCGTATGCTTACTGTCAAATGTCAGTTTTGACATATTTTTTTCATTTGTAGTCGTGAGCGTAAACAATTGTAAATTCCATAATTTAGAGCACAAATTTCGGGCAGTGTATATGTCGATTCTACGTGAGAAGTACAAAGATATCGTTTACTAGATTCCTGATTCGAAATTTATAGTCAATTGTAATTGTACCATTGTATGTCAACTTTTATTAAGTAAATCGCGCATCATTTATGACCAGTATTCATTATTGAGTTTTGAATTTTCGAGTGTGTTTGTTCCAGTTGGTAACGTGTGTTATGGTGTTTGTTATGTCACACACTGGAATTTTATAAAGGAGGCTGTTCATATAACTTAACCGATTAGGTGAAATGAAAAGGGTGTAATGTTATTCTGACGTACCTACATAAGAGCGGAGTGTTATACTATTCTGATTTATTATTACTAGTGATCCCTCAGTAGCCGAACTAGGTCCGTTTTTAATTATGAGGTCGTCACCTATCGTCAACTTATCCACTCGCACAGGACCATAGTATAAAAATGTTTAAATGATAAGAAGCATTTTTTTTAATTTTATTAAATGGCAAAATATAAATAAGTTATTGTTAAAAACACATTTTTATTGTGGCTTTATTATTTGTATGCTGAGTTTATTAGGTAAACACACAAAGTTTTTTTTTTAAATTATTACATATTAAATTAATACTATATTATAGTTCACTTATTGATTACATTTTTAAATTTCTATTTCTTCTTAAATATGGCTCTGTACGAACGCGAGTAGTCTCAAATGGGATAGCCCTTATAATTAAAAAAGAACAGTAAAACAAAATTCTGTCATAAATGGTAAAAATTACGGTATCTGTACAAATTGTAAACTGTAAACACATATTTGTTAAATTCCTTATATTTCTTTTATGAATAACCTACTTTGATTAGTACCTACTGTTTTAGTAAGCACATATTATTTTGGTGTTTAGTTTCGCAAACATGCAAGATATGCATAGTCTAAGATTCGTTTTTGATTATTTAATCTTAATTTCATGAAAATATGTAATTGATAATATTTGTAAATGGATTTTACTTAAACCTTTTTCCAAGTGAACAATGACCTTTATATTATTCCAGTACGTTATTATGTTATCGTGTGTTATATCTTCCAGTGCGTTATTTATACTTTTTTACGACCTTACCCATATATATATATATATATATATATATATATATATATATATATATATATACATATATATATATGGGCCTTTCTCTACTAACTGGAAACTTGTCTATTGACAGTTGTCCCAACCCTATTTTTCTAGAAAATTAAAAATATTATATGTTAAGTCGATAGATAGTTATAATATAAGTACATATAAACAAGAAACCATTGTAATTTTCCCTTATTTTTCGAATTATAGGCAATTTTGTAAAAAAAATGCGACAGAGGTTTTGCCACCCAGAGGACTGTTTTTTCCACCCAGAGAACAGTTTATGTCAATGTTTATATGAAGAAAAATACAATATTAATTATTAAATGTAATCAAATAAATTCTCTTCTTTATTTAATACTAAATCACATACAGAATTTAAATACTTATAAGTATTGATGATAAATCAGGAACAAATTGCGAGCTTAGCTCTCTAAGTAACAAATTAAAATAATTATAATCAAAATTAAGCTTAGGTACTAAGAATCAGTCTTGTTTACTTATCAATGCAGACTTACTTCTCAAAAACAGGTACAGGTATATTAAAATAATAAAATATTCGTTTCCCTTTTAGGGCAACATCTGGGTTTGGCAACTTCTTTATTACTTGGTCAAAGGGCACATCAGAAACATCATTTTCGTCGACTCTGAATGTGTGTCCTTTGTCATCACAAATTTTTAAGAAGGTTACTGTTAGTTCGCCTTCTTCCGTGTCTATCTTATTGATTACTGCAGCATAACAATATTCAGTATTTCTTACTAGAAATTTAACCAAGACGTAATCACCGATGGTGTAATTCTGTTGGTTGATTGAACTAGGTCCAGCCATTGCACCGTCGTCTTCGGTTTCCATTGTGGAATTCTGTGAGTTGTCCATGTTTTCACTTTCAGAGTCTGTGTAAATATCATCTACGTTAAGTTTTGTCTTGTTTTTGTACTCTAACACTCCTAAATTGAAATGCTGGCACTCGTCTTCACAAGTGCAACTTAAACTTTTCATTATGAGTTTAGCGGCCTTTGGAGCTGATTCCAGAGGACTTCTTAATATTTCAGCCTTAACTTGATGTATTTTAAGAGTGCTATTAAAGCTTTTTAAATTAACTGTTTCATTTTGAAGGCCGTCTGTCAATTCTTGGATGGCTTTATCGTCGATTGTGAACAAGGTAATTGCGGAACATCTTTGTTGAATGGCCTCTACAAATGATTCCAAGTTATCAATATCACCTCCTGTAGCGAGCGACGACGGCATCAGCGGTTCTCTTGCATGTCGCTCCAATGCCATCAGGGGCCCCTTTGCCATGGCCACTCTCTGAATAGTTCCAGGTAAACTTCTTCACATTTGAAACCTCTTGTTGAAGCCTTGATGCCAGGATGTAAAACATCGTTTTGTTTCTGTATTGAGTTACGGGTCCATCGCTGACGAAGTGGATGCTCTTTATGTTAGGTGGGAGAGTTTTAAAGATTGGCCGCAAATGTGCCCATATAGCAGCTGGTGAATGTGTGAGATTTTTGGAAACGGTACAATAAGACTTGATAGACTTTTTGGTATACACTACCACAGTATGAAGACTTAGCTGAAGTCTCGACCCTCCAAAATGAAATGCTTGTATTTCTTCACCGTATTTGGAACAATAATTTTCTGAAAAATCCATATGTATGATAGCGTCTTCGTCGGTAAGGTTTTGTTTGTATTTCTTGATAGCATTGTATTGATGGGTAATGTTTCTCTCGTGTTGATAATAGGCTTCCAAATACTCGTGCAGCTCTTCTATTAGTTCTCGAGGGCGAACCGTGAACATTTTCTTTAGGTATTTGGTAACTGTTCGAGCATTCTTGGTCTTGGGGTCGTTGTAAGTTTGTTTCTCAGATATCCATTGTTTAAATTCAATAGGCTTGCTGTCATCAAACTCCCTGTAGTCAGGATTTTTGTCAATACAGCGTTGACAGGTTCGTGACAAACATAGCTCGTCATAGCGATTACAACATGTCTTTTCAAGCAGTGCAGTGTGACTATTGTAAGTCAAAATTCTTCTTCTGTGCAATACTGACAGTTTCAGATCGATGTTCGCGTGCTTAATGCAGAGGCACGTGTTACGTTCGTTTACATTTGGTGTTATGACCCAGAAAGGACGTAGACGACAAAACGTTGGGTAGCTTATTTTAAAATGTTCAGCTTGAAACTTCTTGTATAAATTTCCAATGCTATCCGATAGATATCTTTTCTGTTTTTTAACCCCTTTTCTGGTCAGGCATTCTCGTTTTCCTACGCCAAGTCTGCTGTTGTCATCATTTTCGTAGAAGGTTCGTACAGTGTTTATGCAATCAGATGAAATTTTGTCTTTGCGAGTCCGAAGCTTGGGTACTAAACCCGATTGACGCGCTGACTTCTGAATTGTTTTATAAGATATGGAACTATCTTTGCTTCGCCATAACTTGTACTTGTGTATTAGTTTACCGGACACGACTTTTCCGAATATTTGTTTCTCTTTGCAGGTTTTTAAATTAGCGTAGTTCTCTTTCAGCTGGGCATTCAACACTTCACCGAATAGCGCCTTTTTTGACTACTTCTCTGCGAGCTCCTGGCGAATCACACATTTCGGTCAGTTTAGTGTTAGGTGTGTCTACATTTTTCTTTGTCTTAGCTTTTTCCAAACGTTCTAATCTCTTCCTATACTTCTCGGATTTTTTTCTGTAATACTCGATCTTTTTGTCTTTATCCTTTATAATTTTGTCACGTTTCTTTCTAGCATTACGCTTTCTCGCATTACTTGCATCACTTCGTGGAGTGGTCATAGGTAGTATTGATGGAGCGACAGAACTTTGAGGAGAAGGTGAACCATCGGATTCAGGCGTATTATGTCGTACAAAATTGTTTGTAATTTCTTTTAAAGCTTTTTTTTTTGCGCGATATGTAGCACAGTGCTTTCTCCATTCTTTAGTCACAGCTTTTTGTTCACGTCGACTTATATATTTAACTGACTTTCTTATGCCTTTTTCCTTCTTTCTTTGGTAGTTTCGTCGTTCTTTTTCCTTCAATTGCTCTCTTTTTACAGGGTCATTCTTTAGCCGTTGATATCTTAATCTTTCTGCAATTCGTTTCTGCTCTTTTATTTCTTCTTTGGTTTTAGGTTTCTTCTTTGGTGGCATTGCGGCAATACTAAAACAATAAAACATACTTTCAATATTAAAAAAAAAACCGTAAGGGTTTAAAAACAGGTAGTTACTAGGTACGTATTATTTTATATTCCAAAATCCATAATAGAAAACAAAAGACCTGAATTAGCGTGACAGGCCAATGTAAGAAAGAAAGAGGCTATCGGCAAGCAGTAGGTTAGTGCAGACTATAAAGAATATTAATAAAATACACGGACGTCAAATAAAACAGTCCTCTGTCACATTGAACAGTCCTCTGTGTTATAAATTAACAGAGAACTGTTGCACAGAGGACTGTTATTTTTACGTAAAAAATGTCATACCACGTATAAGTTTAAATATTAATTCATAACACAGAAACAGCTATAAATTATCACACTGAGCAATTTTTTTTGTAAAATAAATATAATTAAAACACATAAAATACCGTAAAATAGACTTACCAGAGGAATGTTCACTCAACACTACAGAGACGTGGCTCCCACACAGACGCGGAGTTGTACTGGGAAAAATGGCGGCGACTTGTTTAGGATGGCAACCGAGCAAACTTCACACTGTTAATGTTCCGTTTGACGCGAAATGTAGCCACAATAGTGTTTAATATTTTTGTGGCGCGATATTCAAATTGTGACAGAGGACTGTTCAAAAATGTATCGGACAAAATTCAAACACTAGTTTTTAGTACAAAAAAATTCTCTAAAATTATAATTGTTTTTTGTTCACATGCATTCAATATTCTTTATGTTCATAGAGTAATAAGATTTCACATTTTTAAATACAACTAATAAAAACCGAACCGAATCATACTCGATCCAGAATTAGGACATAATAGAGGACTGTTTTTAGTGGCTTTTAGACCGAATTTATGAAATGATTATGATTCTAAATATTGATTCAGCTTGGCTCCTTAAATAACAGGTTATATATTATGTGTTTTGATAAATAGAACTATGCATTAATATAGCCAAAATAAAAAAAAACATGCTTGGACCATGATTTTCCTGTTAGTAGAGAAAGGCCCATATATATATATATATATATATATATATATATATATATATATATATATATATATATATATATATAAGAGCCGTAGTAGCTCAGTGGTTAACGCTCGCTGTAAATATAACAGAACGCGAGTAACCCGGGTTCGATCCCCGCCGGCACCAATGAAATTGTTAATTGCAATTTTAAGTGCTGATTTACCACGTGCTCGGCGGTGAAAGAAAACATCGTGAGGAAACCTGCATGTCTGAGGAATAAGAAAAAAAAATATTTCGAAGACATGTGAAGTTCGTCAACACGCATTTGGGCAGCGCGGCGGACACTTCCTTACTAACTTAACCGTAACTTTTTTTTTACTTTATATATATATATATATATATATATATATATATATATATATATATATATATATATATAAGAAAAATCCTGTGGTTCCCGTTAGCTGCGTTATCAGAATCAGTATCCAAGCGTATAGAAATATTTTATTTTATTATATTTATTTTTTCAAAAAACATTTTAAAAAAATTAATTTAATGAAAAAAAAAATTAATTTGCTAATTGTATGTGGTTTTATTATCTTTGCATTGGCCGAGGAATAAGAGTATTGTCAAAGACCGTGCATTACCAATACTCGTGTGATTTAGAGGAAATAAAACCACATATAATTTGCAAATTATTTTTTTTCAATAAAATTAATTTTTACATGTTGTATATTTAAGCGAAATACCACTGACTGACAAACTGATTACGAGATCCCTGTACCTATACACCCAATTGACTTGAAATTTTGTATAGTTACTCATTTCGCAATGTAGACACTAACTAAGAACAGATTTTACGAAAAATCATCAAAAAAAACTCTTAGAATAGGCATTTGTTACGCTAAGACAGTGAGATTTACCATCTAGGGCTGCATCACCACTTACCACCAGGTGGGATTGTGGTCAAGCACTGGCTTATAAAAAGTAAAAAAATAATTTTGATTCATAATTGGACCCGGTAGGTGGAGCAGTTGTCGAGATCCAGAAATCACCCGTGCGAAGCCGGAGCGGATCGCTAGTGGTTAATACAAAAACCGTGTAGTGATGGCGTAAGGATCCACTACCTCTGGATTGAAACAAGAGATAACGACAGTAGCCCAATGGCAGGGTGCGGACAGTCAAGCGACAGTAGCCTAATGGCAGGGTGCGGACCGCGAACTCAAAAAAGGTCGTGGGTTCGAATCCGCCATTCGACTACTGGCGTGAACCACTCGTAACACAAACAATTTAAGCTTACCACGAGTGGTTAAGGGGAATATTAGTAATGTTTATAGCATTGTTAATATTCTTTTTAAAAAATCAATTCAAAATAATAAGACAACTGCGATTTTTTTATAGTATTGGTGACAAATGAGCACAGAGCCCACCATAAATACACAGATTGTTGGTAGTAAGTAAATTCTGTCCACCATCTTTGATTGTTTAAAAATTAAAATACATGAGCTGTTATCCCTGAGGACTATGGAATGTGTCGTTCCAGTAAAAAGGTTCTCCGATTCTCCATATGAAACACAGCAGTATTAAGCTGCTATTTTACGCCGGTAGGTCGAGTAGACTCCTATGTACTACACCCATACTATTCGAATTTCGGTCACATTGGCCTGCTTCAACGGAGGTTATCCATCGGCGCAGGACAGGATTATAGTGTCCAAGTGTGCCACCATGCACAAGCACAGGTGCACTCTCTATTCCTTCACTCTCATAATCCGATGGGACTGTAAACCGACACGACCGGAGAGATATTAGGCGCAGGACCAATGGTTTTACGTGCTTTTCGAGGCACGGGAGTGAGACACCGCCATCTTCCTGACTCCAAGTAGCTACTCAGAATTTCTTGGAAAAACACAATAATTATTTTTTTGGCCCAATCTGGGTTTCGAACCAAGGACCTCTGATTAGCAGTCGCACTATTACAATCACTAGACCAACGAGGCAGTCATACCAAACTCACCTACCAAACTTGACAGCTGTGGCTAATATTCTCCCCTATGAGACAATCTGTGGGAAAGGCCTATGTTAAGCAGTGGAATTTGATAGGCTATAATAAACGAATAATTGAATGAAATACATAATGCGTCTTCTTGCAAGCGCCCAAATGATCAAAAAATTCATTTTTCCTCTGTTCCTCAAATAAAAATCCGTGTTGAAATCAAACACCGTTACTGATATACTTTACATGCCACGATCCCAAAACTGCTTGTTTAACTTTTCTTCTTTTACCAGTGAGGATAGTTATAAACAACAACTATTTCTTCTAGTTAATTTACGGTAATAGTTTTCGCTGATGTGTAAATAATTACGAGAATAAGTATCGGCTATTATATTTCTATTATCACTCTTATCATAATTTTTTTATTAGTTACGGTTTGTCCTCCCACTTCTTTCTTCTTTCTCCCATGTTTATCTAAATCTATAGAAGCTACTCTCCATAAGCAAGTATCCTAAATCCTAGAAAACAATTTTTTATGTAAATATCAATTAGGTATTAAATTCGGATACAGTATTATATAAAAGTTATGAAAGATACTCGTACTATAATGAAAAAATACGTGTGGCACTCGGTGACTGCCGCGGTAAAGCTATTGCATAGCATTTTTTATCAACTTATGCAATTATAATTATTTATTTATTTTATTTATGCAGTTAAGTCTTTGATATTAAATCAAGTTACACTTTTTGAGCGTGGTGACCGATAAGAAAACAATTTTTTTCTCTTATTGAATAAATGAGAAGTTAATATTGTTTAAAATATTTTTAATATCTTACAATACATGTAGGTTATTCAGGATTTTTTATCATTGAGTTAGCAGCTAGTGTACACGCATACGTCTAGTCGCACGCAAACAAACACCGTGCCGAAGTCTGCAAAACTGAAACGACGTTAGACGATGCAAGGCTTTCAACGCCACACCTCCGTGCCCGTCGGAGTGGGAAGCGTGTTTTTTTTCGTTACGGAATTTCTGGATTCGGTCCCCGCGCTCAAGGTCCGCGATAGAAGCTATGCAATAGCTAATGAAAGCCGCAATGAACTGTGTTAGTTCTATTAATTTTTCTACCGCTTTTAACGCTGTCGATCAACAAAGTCAGGCATCTCCTTGTCAGCACAGCATTAGTTCGCGTTTTGTTTTCAAGGGTTTCAGCAGATGGTTCTTACAAGCAGAAATGTTATGATCATTTCTGATTAGTATGTATTATAAATTATATTATAGTGACGTTTCCCAAAGGAGAATTCTCCACTCTCTATTCTTCTAAGTTTTTATAAATATTATTATAGTCTATTATTCGCTGCTTGTACCATCTGTATGCTGATTATTTGCTGCTCAGGCCAACGTTACTTGCATTAATGACTTGATTAAGGAACTAAATTACGATCTTAAGCGTTTATCTTATTGGTAGAGACAATTTGCTAATGAGGTTAATTCCACAAAATGTCAGGTCATTGTAGTTGATAGACGCCGTCGTTTATCTAAAATTGACTTAAACTCGTTGCCTCTAATCTATACTCATATAAATAAAATTAATGTGTCTGTCTGTAATATCGAAAACACTGCCTTATTGTGAGCTGAGGGGGTTTGTTAGATGATATTAAGACATGAGTAACAATTTTTTTATTATTAAAAGCTTTTATTTTACTTCATTTGTATGTATATCCTGGTATTTTGCAATCAATGTTTCAACCACTTTTACTGAAGCTATCGGGCTAAAATTTGGAATACACGTTTAGTTATTATGATAATGCATGATTACTTATATACCTTTTTTTTAAATCCAATATGGCGGAATTTACAAAATGACGATTTATCATTTCCACTGCTATCCCTATGACATGGGTATCAAATCAAGGGCTTGATAAACGAAACACAACAAGTACAGTGACGTCATTTTGGATACCAATATGGCGGACGTCACAAAATAGCGATTTTTAATTTCCATAGTAATTAATCCCTA